GATTGTTGCTCAAAATTGATTCTTTGTTTGGTTTATTTTGAAACGACAGGGCTAAAATTATTTATTAGCCCCTGTTGGCAAGCCAAATGAGTAATCGCGGTAGTTCTGAAACGTATGGCACGTTTTCAAACCCCTCGCATTGAACATGCAGCTGTTGCATTCGATAAGGTGGGCCATAAAGTTTCCAGATCACGATTAATGCGTTGATATAACTGGTTTGTTTAATTATTTGTAATAACTGTGCAAAATATACTAATGGCTTTTTCCATAAAATATTAAAGTAAGAATACAATATAACGGTTGGTTTAGAATAAAATTACCAATAAAACATAAAACATACCTATTCTCAAAATGTTTGCAATGACAATGAATTAAATTAGCATTTATATGTATATAGCAGCATAAAAAACGTAACGGAAAAATAAAATGTTCGTGAAAAAAAAAAACATAAATTATACTTTAATTACGGATGTTCCAATAATTTGATCCTGGTGGACTTAAATGTAAGACGGTTGAAACCCAGGTGTGAATTCAGGTCAAACCCTTTTAAATGCATCACGTAACATGAAAATAATAAAGCATTTTTATAATCTTAATATTGTTTATTAAGTAAGATTGTGAAATAAAAGTGTATTGAATGAAATCTGGGGCTTTTAAAAATCAGAAACCGATTAACCTGTGCTTAGTCGCCCCCAAAATATTCGCACATTCAAATTAGGTCAAAAACCCTTTCGGAGACGGAATAATTGGCACCCCACGAATTTATTGACTCAGTCAATTTGTATATGGGGAATCGCCCCTTTACCGAAGAACGCTAGGTGTAAGGATATGCAAGGTCCTGGATGGAACAGGTACCCCCTAGTTAGCGTCGACAAATTTTGGGGGAAAAGACGACAACCAAAGGGGAAACAGTATTTTGACTGGCGCCCTCAACTAACCTGTGATAACAGTATTGTGAATAAGGTATTTTCCCCCACTTAACTTGTTAAATGTTTTAAACAAATGCTACTTAGGGGGACAAGTACCCACATATTTTTACAGCAAAGGAATGAATTCATCAGGTAGCAAGGAATAGTAAATCAGTTAGGTATGTTTTGGCTCTGATTTGCGATAATCACGGCAATTTTTGTATTTAGAACATTATATAATTTATACGGTGAGAATATAGCATACAAAGGAAGTACTCAGTCGGATGCAAGTTCAACTTTGTTAGATTTAACAATCTATTTCCTAAATTAAACTGCTCGGCTACTTAAAACGACATATTGTTGTTTGCCACTGGAGTTATGAATAAATCAACAACATAATGTGTGCAATATTTTTTAATGAGTTCAATGAGTCGCTGCGCTGCTTTGTTTCAATCTGACTATTGCAGATTTAAAACGATTTAGGCTTTATTAAACACGTCATCCCAATGGAGTTTTTCACATACATTAAAATTATTTATATCCATTTAAACCTAAAATATACATTTTTAAGTTATGTCTAACCACAAATATTTTTTGCTTCTTTTGGGTAAAATTTCGTAACGCGGTCATAGGTGACCGGATATTACTTCTAAGCATATGTGTCTGCATCCGCTTTTACATTACACACATGTATACCTACTCACATACGACCACCAACCACCCCCTGCATCCCTACCACTACGTCATATTTCCGCTACGGTTTTTAATTTATGTGGTACGTTTTTTTTCGTAATTAGTTGAAAAAACGAACGAGCTAATTTAACGAATGTTATTTATGCTTTTTAATATTGTACTGTTCCGGACGATTTTATTCTCGCCCTCTAACACGTACACATTATTTTTAATTAAAAATTGCTCCTGCCACCCTTAAATTATTATTTGTTTATTCTCATATACATTTATTTATTGCCTCTATAAAAACAAATTTACCCAAAGTTTGCCGTGTTAGCATTGACCAAAAGCATACAAAACCATTTACACCATAAAGTTTCTGTTTTTTTCCAAAATTAAATATCGCGGTTAGAAAAGGAAAAACTTTGTTTTTCAAAAAGAGGAGATTTACAAAAAAAACTTTTAAATTAAGTTTTAAACTACGTCTGAAACGTGTGCGTTGACTGCAAAAACTCCTAAAACAACTTAAAAAGAATTCATTAATTATACAAACAAGTTCTTTTCTTTCTTCTTCTCCCTTAAAAAATTTACTCTATACCTAATTGTTTAAATCATCAGCCAACTGTGAATCATAAATTTAAATGGCAAAAGTGCATAGTCGGTAGATGTGGCAACATTCGGTATTTGGCATGTTCGAGGATTGATTTTTTTAGTGCGTGGCTGCGGGGAGTGAAGAAGTGTTCGTGGAGGGGGGTTTCTGTGAAGGCAAAGAAGTGCGACAGAGGTGGAAGGGAAACAAGGGAGGTGAATAGTCCTATGAGTCACAGGGTTGTTCCAAATGAGTTTATCGTATTTATTTTATGTGATTCAAGAACAGATTGAGTTTATGTTTCCCATAAAGAAATATGATTGATATGATAAGTTATTTGTTTTTTTATTAATTTTAAAATATTTTAAATATTCTAGATACTTTTTAGGCAGTAATGATTTTTTAAATTTATGATTATCATTTATGATTATCATTAAAACTAGATGAAGTTCATTACTAGTGGGTATTTATCCTGCAGTTTATCAGGAATCAAATTGCAGGAACATCCCTGATGACTCATCATTGCATTCTGCCGGCATCGATCGATATGTTTGGAAAGCTTGTCGCCGGTGTTGAGCCTATGGACGCCTGCGACGAGCTGAGACGCCGTCCGTAATGCGTTTTGTTGAAACCAAGGGCGATTTAGACGCGTCTCGTATTTTTTCATGATACTCGCTCGTTAGATAAATGTTCAAAACTTGATTTATATTTAAAAGTTAATATAAAGTAGGTAGTACCAAATGTCGTTGATGGATGTGTGTTGTATCGTATGAAAGGAACAAAAAGTGAGCAGATGAAACAACAATCGACGCAGATAAAAGAATCTTGTCGCGTGCTAAACATCGAGGCAGATGTCTAGCAACACATTTTGATAATGCACACATTTCTTTTTTATTCGGTTAAAATATATCTTATTTACTTTCTATTATTCTCTGTTTATTGGTTATTGGACATGATCAAAACAAATGGTGATTGTAAACACAACGGTTCCTTAAAATGAATCTTATTTATATAAACAATTAATATTTTATACTTATTTAGTAATTTAAAACAAAGCTTCCTTCCATTATACTTTAACAATGCACTTAGGTAATTTTAATTAAAGTTCGTGTTTAATGCGAATTCATGAAACTTTCCTCTTAGTGTTCGAAAAGCTCCGGAGCTTTCATGAGTAAGTAAATATATTTTCCTGGTGAGTCATAACTTTCATAGACAAAAAATCAATACTTGCATTCGCCTGAACCTTTCACGAGATATTTTATGAGATTGAAACTGCACCCCAGTACGATAAGTAAAAAGTTTTAATGGTAATTTTATGGCAGACAACTTTTTTGGGAACTAACGTACACGTAATTAACGGACATGAAATTATTGTTTATTGTTCATTGTTAAGGCACTTATTACGTCAATATAGATGTCGTTTTGCTTGTCATGAAACAATTTTGTTGCTGCCAAGCACCTGGCAGTTTGTTTACGACAACAATGTAAATTTCAGTTTATCGATTTTATTTATTAAAGGGGTAAACATTATACATTTAAATATTCAGAAAATTAATTATTTTTTATAAAATGCATGCAGTAACATAAGAGACAATTAAATTTTATGATTATCATGTGCTGAAATGGTTTTAAAAAATACTAAAAAGCTCTGTAAAGCAATAATTTATAATCAGAATGATCTAGGACCTATTGTGCAGCGCAAGTTCTTAAAAAAATTATTTTTGCTATTATGTGCTTAAGGGCAGTCGTCCAGTAAAATTTTATGCCTAGATGTCACTCCCGATTCAGTGGATTATTTGTTCGGCTGCCTGGTACACAAACAGCTGGCAGAACTTTATTCTATAAGAGCAGCTGTTCGTTTGGGCATATTACTACCTGGTTTTAACATATAATATGGCATATGTTACTCGAGACTTAAAATTAAAAGAGTTTTTCTTTTTGTTATTAACGACGATATTTTTAAATGTTATCGAGTTTAATTATAAAAAAACTCCACAGCCATTCCACGCTACTCGGGAATTTTTGTAGCGTCCGTTACAATTAAAAATTGTGAGGAAAACTACCGTAATTATTATGCTTATAAGTTAAAGCCTAATTATTACAAGCATAATAAACATGTTTGCAATATTAACTATTTTAACAGTATTTAATTTAATTGATTGTAACGGACGCTACAAAAATTCCCGAGTAGCGTGGAATGGCTGTCCATTATAATAATGTTACATGTTTATGAAACCAAATAATGATATTCTATTTTTTTATAAATAAAAATAAAAAATTTAAACATTATTATAAAACCTTTAAAGTGCATTGAGAAAAATCCATTTGATTATGCAAATAACTTAAATTTATTATATCTTTTTATCCGGTTTCAAGCATACTATCACGCTTTTATTCAATTTATAATTTAAAAAGAAAACGCATCCCTTTATTCGCTTCTATTATTTAGAACTAGATTAGTCCTAGACCAGTTTGAGCTTTTAAAAATTAATTCAAGAGAAGATAAAAGATCAACTTTTTAAGAGTGAGGCTGGGAAAATGTTCATGAATACCGTTAAACTGGTATTCAAGAAAAATATGTTGTTGTAAATAAGTACATGTTTGATTAAACTGATACTAAAATCTATTCTACGGTGAAAGGGGTTGATTTTTTTAGGATTAGGATATCTTACATTATTTGTAGTAAAATTAGAAATTAGTTACGAAATTGAGAATTGCGAATAGAAATATGCAGGAATAGCGTGTAATTGGACTGTTCCATGTTTGGGAACAGGGGATGTAGGGTGACTAATTTACGCATTTACAATAAAAGTGAAACCGACTGCACTAACCTTCTTCTCGGTGAGCTTTTCGCATCGCCTCTGCTTGCAGATCTGATGGCTCTTGTCGTTTCGGCACGGGGCACAATCACCACAATTGTCTTTCCTTTGGCAGCCGATACATTCACCGCAACGTTTACGTTTCTTTTTGACTTGTTTGTCTACTGACCCGCCACTGATATCGTCCATATCCATTGAGTTGGAATTAATGGAATGATGAGATTTAAAACCCGCGGTACTGGACACGGCCGCGACCTGTCCAGGGTTATCGGAACCGATTTCCATGTTACTGGAAGCCCCGTCACTTTCCGCGGAGCTTTCTAGACTAGATGCCCGAATTTTCCTGCGTTCTTTTTTACGGAAATCATTTCGCGTCGGAGAGTTCATATTCGCAGCACTAATACCGTTAATTTTTTTCTCAAGTCCATTGTAAATACCGTTGTCACTTAAGTTGGTCATCGGATTTTGGAACTGAGTCGGATGCAGGCCGACGTTGGTCAGCTTGATATCGGGTTCGGATTTCAACACGGTCACCACGGTCGGTGAGGAGATCAGTTGATTATTTTGAATGATAGCACCATTTTGAGTTGGGAAAATACTGGCGGGATGGAGAGAGTTATTCAGGGTTGTAATGTTGGCTGTTGGATGCGAGTAGAGCTGAATGTGCCTCTCGTCCAAGAATTGCTGTTGGATCGACGGAATCTCTCTGGCTTGGATGGGAGCTGGAACTAAAGGATAGCTTCTTGTATTAACAGCACTTAAGGTGTGAAAGTTGGAGTTTAACGTGGTTAAACCATGGCTTCCCGGACTAGACGATGAATTTGGCGAGACGGGGGTCAGGTTGGTAAGCGTGGTTAACGTGGGCTCGCTAGTGGTTACAGGATCGCTAAACGTCTGGAATTGTGATTGGAAAGATGGTAACTTGGAAAGGCCGTTTTGTTGCGCAAATGCATCCGTGAATGTATTGGCGGCTGGAGTCGTGGCAGAAAACGCTGATGTTGAGTCAACAGTTTTCGACTCCCACGGCCGGTACTGAGGTTGGGAGGAGATGATGGAGAGTCCGTTTTCCGTTCTTTCAAGCAAACGAGTCTCACCGTAATAGTCCCAGTTTGATATGTCTAAGAGGCGGGTATCACTAAATAAACGATCCGACACCGAACTGAACGTTCCACTTGGATCCATGTCCGCTGAAAACGTGGAGAATGGCGGCAATCCTGGCGCCACGTCCTGCACCGTAGAGCTTGGAGTCGCTGGGGTCGGTGGGTACGACGGTGTCAACGTGGTGTACGCCACGTTCAACCCGTCTGGGTCTTGACTTAGAGTTTCACTCATTTTCTTCTTTCTAATAACATTATTACTACTAACTTAAAATATCCATAAATGGTAATTAGGTTTATCGATCGATCGGTAAGATGGTACTGGCAATTATTTTTTATTGTCGTTCGGATTCCTGAATATCGCTGAGATGAGGTTAAGTGAAGTTATCTATTTGTACTTTTTGTATTTGTACTGTTGTGTTTCGTATAAAAATAGTATTCTCACTTGTACATTATAAAAAATAATATCTGAAACAAAACAAGGTTTTGTATAAAAGAGGTTATTCGACAAATCATTTTTAAAATTGAAAATGTAGCGTTAACGATTTTCTAAATTTTAAACTGGCAACGAAGAATATTATTGCTTACAAGTACGAGCCAAACCAATCCCTTTGTTTTGATCTGGATTGAGCCGCAAGAAAGAGAATACTAAATTTTACATTTACGTTAAGTTCACCATGAGAAGAGAAAGAAAACACAAGAAAGATAAACATGTTTTTTGTAAATTGTAGCTTTTGTATTGTGACGCAGTTAAAAGCGCAAAGCGTACGTCATAGCAAAGCTCGCTCGGGGTGAAAATGAGAAGGTAGAGCGCGTGCGCCGCGTAACGCATTTCCTATACGCGCCAGCGAGGTCACGGTCGGCGCTTTTGCGGATTGAATCCTTGTGCGTGTGCAATTCGACGTCCGTATTCGACCCAACAAAGGACTCAATTTTTGTTTTAAAAATCCATACATGCCAATTACTACTTAGTTTATAGAACATGTCAAAAAATCTATTCCCAAATAAGAACATATAAAATACCATAAAGAATATTGTTTTAACACTAATAATTATTTAAACCTTCAAAAGCAATACAATTTTCTGACACTTTAATTTTAAAATTATTTGTTCATACTATTAGCTACCAATTCGAATTTTAGAATTTTAAATTTAATGGCTTAAAATTTCAGAAATTCGAATTTTAGAATTTTAAATTTAATGGCTTAAAATTTCAGAAATCAAATCCTGAAAATAAAAGTTTAAACGAAAGGCATTTGAAAGCGAAAGGACAACTATTGTTTATGACGCATGCGCAAGAAATTTGGTCGATCCCAGGACGCTTAAATTGCAAGTCTTTTTTGTTGTTCGTCATTTATAAATTTAAAACAACAATATGTATCCATAAAATATCATTTAAACTAAATTTTATGTGCTTTTTTAGGCTGCTGAATATTTGTTGATAAATTATAATTATTGTATATTTTTATTTTTATGTTTAAAAATTAATAATGAAATTGTTTAATATTACTAAATGAAAGTGTTATTAATGTATTTAATTCACGCTTCAAATTAATTTAAAAAAATTTTAAGCTTGCAATTTTGAATTTTTGTTTGTTTGGATCTCAATACAAAAGCTTTAATTTAAAAACCTCTGACAGTCATAATAAAAACTAAAATTAAAATGCAATCGTTACCAGTTTTTTCGAGAAAAATCGTAGAAACACAGCATATAAACAAAAACGTAAATACATAAAAACACTGACCATGTGTAAATAAAAAAATTTCGCACTCACACACCACCTATCACGCACGATGTGATTACAACTGACGCTGCTACGCACAAGGTTTGAAAGCTCTACGTGAACGCGCGGTGTTATACATCTGTCGTCCGTTTGCACCAATCAGAAGCTCGAAGCAAAAAGCTATCGGTGACTTTCGACACACGAACGATCTCAATGAATTGCGAATAGTTTTTCTTTATTTCCCGCTTGCCACCTAACGACGAATCGGTTTTCTTTGCCGTTAGTCATAAATATTTCGATTTTTTAATTTGAAAACTTTATGTATAATACATTTATAAAGCATTTAAATTAAAAACCCTATAGGGAAAACAATCGAATATTTCTCAACAAATTTAAGCTCTTAATATTAATACGAAGATCCTCCTCATCACAGCTTTTCATTTTTTTTTAGTTCCTTATATATAGGTTTCATCGAAAATCTTACGTAAACTTTTGAGATTAAAGAATATGTAATTCGATTTTGTAAAAAAAATAATCAATTTCTTTTTATCATGTAAAAAAAGTTTCATGGCTAGAATCTAAGGTAAGTGAACCACATCTCACCAAATCTCACCAAGAGAGAGGGGTGTCCAAATTATCAGAAAAATACCTCACGTAATTAATGAATGCCCTCTAATATTCTTTAAAATAATATTGAATTTCCTGATATCCGTTGATTAACTTTAAAGAACATATAGGTATTAAAAAAAAATGTTTTCACAAAACTTTCAACAATAATAATAAATTATTTAACAAAATATACTAAATATAATACATCTAAATTCAATGAAAACGATTGCATTTATAGTATATTATGTATCAAGTTTGATAAACGCCATTTTATACACGAATTTAATTTAGGCACGAGCGTGCTTGCGAGCGAGTTCTTAAATTAATGAGTGTATAGAAAAGTTTATAAACGAGGTGCATACTATACTTTTTCTACGACAAATACTTATTATTATCTTAAAATGATTTAAATCAAAAATTTGTATAGAGCGCCATCTATAAAACAACAGGGGAAACTGTCAAATGTCACATTTTTACATTTTATAAACACAATTATAAAGGTTATAAATCGAAATGTATATTGAAAATTGACAGTTTTTCACAGTGAAAGTAAAGAAAATGTTTTATGAGAACTTTACAGTGGAGTCCGTACCCCAATTTAAGTTATAGCAGTAAACTAGTTTACTGCCGGCGAAATTAAAAGGTCAGTACAACGTTCATATAACTTATCAAATATTGGCGTTGAGAAACTATTTAATACTTTTGTATTTTTGTATTGAGATAATAAAATAATTTTCACATTTTGTATTATTTTACAAGAAAGGCACTTTATTTTAACGATTGTATGACATTTGACAACTGTCAACTAACTTAAAACTAACTTCAGCCCGTGACTAAAGCGCCGTAAAGCCACAACTTGTCAATGTGTATTTAAAAGGTCACTTAGTGTCATGGAAACATGTACGATAAAGGGCGTTTTAAAGGTGGGAGTAGAAAAAAAAGTTTATTATGTATCAAGTTTTATAAACGCCATTTTAGACACGAATTTAATTTTTAATTTTTTGCTTAAATTAATGAGTGTCTAGAAAAGTTTATTAATGAGTTGCATACTATACTTTTTTTGCGACAAATACTTATTATTATCTAAAAATTATTTAAATTAAATATTATCTATCTATAAAACAATAGGGGAATTTGTGTTACCGTCAAATGTTAAATTTGTATGTGTTTTAAACATAGATAATAAATCAAAATGTATCCCTTGAAAATTGTTTAAATACTGTGAAAGTGAAGAAAATGTACTTCACGGTGAAGTCCGAGCCCGGCTTTAAGTTATATCTAGTTTACTGCCGACGAAATTAAAAGGTCAGTACAATGTTCATATAAACTTCAAATATTGGCGTTGAGAAACTATTTAATATTAAATATTAAAGCATATGCTTTTGTATTTTTGTATTGAGGTAATAATAGTATATTAAAGAACTAATGCCATAAGACGTCATTTTGTCGCACGCGGACAATGGACGAGGTGCGACAAAAGGCTTTTTTATATTTTGCAAAAATTCTATAAAAAAATTAAATTTATACCTTAAATTATAATTATAATAAATTTTGTATTTAATTAGTACCCTGGTATACTCGTCACTTCCCTTGCATTCAAATTTAGAAAACACAGAAAATGTTTGAAAAAGTGACTGGCCCGGTCTGGAACAGTATATTTATTATATTATCTATGTTCTCATAATAAAATACTGTTTTATTTTCTCCGAAAACTATATAAACAAAATGAGGTCAAGAGTTGCCCAACTTTTGTAGAATCACCCATATGTATATTTTGCCCAAAAATAAAATCTTATGCATTTAAGGGTTAAAAACTAATCCATAAAAAACAATTTTTGAGTTCAGATTTAACGGGCCAAAATGTATAAAAAAATATAGCGGCACTTCTACTAAGTCTTGTACCATTACTATCGCGACCATGCGCGTGACCCTCCATAATATTTACAAGCAATCATTATGATGAATTTAAAACCGCTAATATTTATTATCCACCCGATTTTATAAACATAACCAAAACATAAGTCACTGTCAAAACAAATATGTCAAAAATATACAAGGGTTTTAGGGAAAAATAGTTATAAAAAACCTTAGTAAAAAACAAACAAATATACAAATAGTTGGCGAATATTTTGTAACCAAGAAACCGCATAAATACGTTTGTCATATATACGAATAACGTTTATCCTTTCACACATTGAAAGAAAATTCTACCATATATTAAACAAATTTCATTAATAAGTAAGTATTACTATATTATTTTATGATTCCAATAATAATCTTTATAAACCTGTTTCAGATAAAATGGGACTCATATTCCTACGCTGTTTATGCTTAGTTGTAATTGTATTGTCACTGATTGCATACACAAATGCCCAGGACGACGCCACAACTGCTGCTGCTGGTGGAGAAACCACAGCGGCAACCACCCAGAAAGCTGGAGGCGCAAACCTACAACCATGGAATGCTTTAATAATTTTACCAATGGCCTGGGTCTCATATTTATATGCCTCACGTTAATGTGTTCGGTATGACCAACCAATATTCATGTGTGAAATTGTACTTTTTGTACTTATACAGATTTTTATTTAATAAAATGTCTATTAATTATTTATGCATTTTTTATTAAGGGATCTCAAATTACATTTGTATAAGGCTTAGAAAATAATTCAAAAGTTAAAATAGCCATTGCATACCGTTTTATTCATATAGCAAAATGGAAATCGCCCCGATAATTGGGGGCCTTACTCCTAGGGCCGTAATACTAGGTAATGACAATTATTAAATTTGTTAGTAGTTTTTGGTAATATTAATATTACCAATTGGTAATCCTGTTTAAAATATAATCTGATATTTTGACAATCCATTGATAAATATTACAGTTTCCAAGTATTTATTTTATTTTTATATGCCAAAAAGTTACAGATGTCGTCCCGAGTCGGGTTCAGGAAATTATGTTTTATAAATTCGATCGAGTTATAATGCCTCTCGCTAAGTGATAATTTTTATTTAGGAAAAAGAAAAGACCCCAGCCATATCAGATTTTTCTTAAATCTGTTGAAGTTTTTATCTAACAAGTCCTTGTTCATTTAAATGAGGCAAATCTTTACACACTTCTCGGGAGACTTCGTTGGCAACTTAAAATATTAGGTAAACTCTTCTTAAGATTTAAATTCAATGTTAAATTGCAACACTTAGCTGATCTAAACTTACTTAATTACCATAAATTGGCATAAACTAAATTTTTATAAAAAGCAGTAGATATTTAATTGATTTATTTAACTTATAAGATAGTTTACTGCATTTCTTAGTTGAATTAAGATACAAAATGTCCATAGCTTTATCATAGCACAAGAAAACGCATTAAGAATTTTCATAAAAGGTCATAGGTCATAAAAGATCACACCTATAGATTCTTGGAAAAGCTAAAAAATTCTCGATTTAATTTTGTTTGGGGTTCAGACCTATTTGGTTAAATAATAATTTTTAAATTTGAACAATGTTTGTAAAAAAACTTTCCCAATGAACCGAAATTTCCATAGAATTGAGCTGCTTCATAATTTTTGGATAGCCGCAGCAAGTGTGAGGATACTCACATACAGAAATAAAATTTTACTGTGATAAAATAAAATTTAACATTTAACATTTAATGTTATACCCTAGTAGTAATGAAATGGGACAGGATTCTCCGGCAAGTATACTTGGAGAAGCACTTTATACACAATTTGACAATTCTTGATCAAGACACTTGACCAAGATTCTTTATCCAAACTGGCTCCAGACTTGGGCCAGTCTTTGACCAGATTCTTGGCCCAGAGTCTTGAGATAGACTTACGCGAGAAACTGAAAAGACGACAATCGCGCCTCCTATTTCCATACTTTCACTTGAAAGTGAAAAGTATAGCATTGCAGTGGTTCTCAATTATAATGTAGTCAATAAGATTTTACAGTTTAGCGTTAAGTTTGAAATAATGCCTCCAAAAAATTGATTTCAGATTTTTTTATTTTTACCTTGTCAGTAATAAACGAATCTGTTGAAAAAAATTAATAACTCCGGAAAAAAATTTTGTTTTTTATTTAAAAAAATGTGAAATTTATTGTAATTATTATTGAGTAACTAGTAGAAAAAATTGAAAAAATTATTATAACAATTTTGAAAAATTTAAATTTTTTTAAACTATTCGCAAAAAAAATTCGTCAAATTTTTTATACCAGATAAATTAATCACCTGAAATTATGAATTAATTAATATTTACATTTAGAAGAATATTTCGTTTTCGGCTTGAAGTTTTAGCCCTTTGGACTAAAAATGTTTCACGTTATGGCAAACTTCGGTTCACCTTAGACAGAGAGAGTAAGGCGCACCTTATCCTTCTCTCTTACACACACTTCTCGACTAGAGTATTGTGAATGAAACTACTGTAAAATGAGAACTCTATACAGTAGTCCCTAAGTTTAGTAAGAGATGGCCTCAGATTTCTGGTC